TGTGTGTGTGTGTGTGTGTTGGGGTGTGGAGGTGTGAAGAGATGGGGGAGGAGGAAGGATAGGGAACGAGATAAGATTAGGATAAGATAAATTTCCAAAGACCTGAGCAGAAAATGTAGACAGCTGAACCCTAATTAGTAATGTCACTTTCATTTCTGTCTAAGCGGTTGTTCTTATGCAAACTCACTATTGAGCCCTTATTCTGAATTTTGGTGTGCTTTAGTGCTTTGATTTGTAAAATCTCTGATCTTCTCTTCCCACCCCAGGAAGCAGGAAGGCCAGGTATTTCTGACCAATGAAAATTCTAGCTCTGTGCAAAAACTGTCCCAGCAAGGGGATTCTGAGAGTATTAGCACCTCAATGAAAGTGATAGACATAGCTGGGCCTGGGATAGGCTGGGGTTGGCAGTTGCCTTCCTGGTTATTTACTTAATGAATGGTTTATTTCCTTAGCCACCTGTTAAACGTGCCTGGGATGTAGTTGTCAACTAACAAAGCCCCTGATGGACAGCTTCCCCGCTGTCCCGGTGCTGAAAAGATTTCTATCTACAGAGTCTTGTATCCACTCACTCCTGACTCTTCTCCCTCTCCAGGGGCAAACAATGAGATCTCAGTGGTGCATTCATAGTCAAAGCTACTTTATCTCCTGGAATCCTGAGTGTCCTCAGCAGGGATGCTTTTGTAGGTGGCCTCTTTATCCCTCCTTCCCCCAACACATAGACACCCCTGGACCTGGGACCTCCTTTGCTAGAGTCTAACTGTACGCTCTCTAACCTCTCTCTTCCTCCCTCCTCCATTGATCACAACAGATTTACCTCTCTCAGTCTTGCCTGTCACTCAGTGATGGTGTCACTCACATTGGTAAGACTCAATTAGTGTTAGACTTCAATTAGTCATCACAGTAACCCTCTGTATTAGGGAAGTCAAAATGTTTTCACTCTACTCATGAAGATTCTTGCTCTGGAATCTTTCTCAAAAGTTTAGAGCAGTAAACTATATAAACTAAGAGGGTGCCTGGAGCTTTGTAAATGGGGTCAGATGGCACAGCACTGGAAAGCCTAGAAAGGTAGCTAGGAGAGGCGAGGTCCTGGTGACTGCTTTGAACTTGTAGCTCAGGCTGATTTTAAAGGCATAAAGGAAAGTTCGATGTGCCTCCGTGTATTAACCTCAGGCCTCAGTGTATTAACCTCGTAACAGTGCCAGGAAGGAATGTGGTCAAGAACTATAGGGTTGGCCGGACATGGTGGCTCACGCCTGTAATCCTAGCACTCTGGGAGGCTGAGGCGGGAGGATCGCTCAAGGTAAGGAGTTCAAGACCAGCCTGAGCAAGAGTGAGACCCCGTCTCTACTAAAAAA